GTGTTAGACTCTTCTTACCGTCCGGCTCTGATAATGATAATAATAATAATAATAATAATAATAATAATAATAATAATGGCGTCGATTAAAATACCAGAACGATTACGCGATGCGAGAGCACTTTCGGCAGTAGGACTGACGTTTCTTTGTTTGTCGTCCATAATGAATACTTCCTACCGTCAAGACAACTTCGATTTATTGTCCCTTTCCCGTATCTGCGGGAAATATGTTTTGAAGGTTTGAAGGTAGGTGTATGGCGGAGGCACCGTAATCTGAAGGCTAAATTTGACAGAGAAAGAATGTGACCGATATTTTTTTTAAATAAGGAGTAATTAATTTGTGTTTTTAAATGTGCCTGAAAATTAAAAAAAGTATTTATCTAAATATTTACTTGATTTATCATTAATTTTTCTCATTACAATGACTACATACATTTTAATTTGGTTTTGACATTACTTTTAGACTCATTTAGATCTTTTCTCTTTATTCTTTTTTGTTTGTTCTTTTAATTCCCTGATATAATTTTGAAAAGTATTGCTTGGAACGTCGGATATAATTATACGGGGAAGAATTATTTTCTCTTCCATAGTTTTGTCTCCTTCCCATGTCTTTATATGTAGTACCAAATTTTCCACGTAGCACTTCCATACCTATAACTACTCAATTACAGAATACTTCGGTTGTCTATGAAGTTGCGTTAGTTAGACCAGAAGGTCTGCACTGTTTGAGGCCTTGCCTTGCACGGGTAAGCTGAAGTCAAGTTCCTCCATTGCGTGGTGCTGTAAACCTAGAAGACCGCTTCTCAAACCTAATTCGCTTTCATTGGTCCGAAGGGAGCCATAAGCCTTCCTTATCTCTCAACGCCAACTGCAGCTAGTGTGCGAGGGGCGCTCGTTCAGGAAGTAGCATCAATCACGGCCGGCTTGATGGAGCTAATTGCCTGTTTTGTGGTCGTGCTCATGAGTTGTTTGAACTATTCACGAAATTGCCCATTGTGGGACGAGGACCTAGTCACCTAGACACGGAAGATACCAACAGTTTGCTAACCGATTCGCGTGCCTGTGGATTTGGGGCTACTTTTAAGTTCATTTCGAATCCAATATTTTTGGGATTAGATGAACTGAATTCTCCACACGATAGTGAGAACTGTTATTGTCATTTCGATGCTTTATAAAACTAGGGGTGCTACAGCAGCGCAGACTTTCTCGTATTATATGTAACGGGTTCGTAATTTTATATTCGAAATTGTATGCTACTAATTCTTCTACCTTCTTGTGAAATATTATCTTCCGCAAAAAAAGGCGAGGGAGATTCAAATTTGCAATTTTCGAAGATTCGCAACTTCTGAAAGGTTAGAGATTTTAATGAAAATCGGCCTTTTTACTCAAATGCAAGCGGAATCTTCTCACCTTAGAAAAAAATCAGAATTAAATATTTTGTGTTTGTAATTCCAGGAATTGAACCCCGATTTAGAACCAAGAAGTACATGGTGTCAGCGATTCCCACTAACGGTACTAAACAACAATAAGAGAGCATCGAAATTAACAAATATGAGGATCCGAGAAGCCTTCCAAATACGTCAGCACAACTCAAAATTACTTCTAAACTACAAATATGTTGAAAAATTGTTTGTGAAATGTTTTGAATATATAGTATTAAGTATTTTTTCTACCAAGACAGAAATATGAAGATTCATTATGAAAGGTGTAAAATAAATTAAAAAACACATCCGTGTATAGAAATAATAATGTTATTGTGTGGATGTCGCTAATAATCTTTTGTAGTTAATGCGATATAAAATTAATATATTATAAAATTTGAACATCACAATTTTAAAGATTTCAAAATCTTTTGGAAATAGGACATTTGCCGTGATATTAAAAATGTTACTTTATTTGAGCTGAATATTAAAATGAAAAAACGGCGTTTTTGAAGAAAATATTGTTTACGCATTTTTTAAAAAATGTTCTTATTTAAACAAAAATTCCTCAAAAACTACTCATATTTTCAAAAACGTATACCTGGCATTATTGAAAGATATAACTATGAATAATAGATGTCATTAAGAAAAAATCTGTCTTCAATAATATAATTGGTGGACGACAAAATGTTTAACTTTTCTAATGTTCGAATATTCAGAGGTTATAATGAACGTTGGAATGTGTCATTTTGGTAAAAGTGAATAGTACACGAGAAATTAAAAATAATGTTTCAGTTTCACTAATTTAGGGCTTTGTGAACCGTAGGGTGTGTCAAAACACACTGTTTTTCGAAAACAATTGTTTACGAGATGTACTCATTCCAACGATTATTGACACTCCGTACGCACAACGAACCCCAAAAGCGGACATGTAAATGCCTGCTATACTGTAAATTCAGTTCCCCCTGCGTAACAGAGGAAAAATCTTGTCCAAATAATTGGTATACTGCATTACCTTAACCACTTTGAAAAGCCTACATTGCCAGTGTTATTTATTTAACATGATTTGAATAGCGTACTAAATGGCGAGAGTGAATTAAGGTGGGAAATGTATTGAAGATTAAGGGAAGTGATCATAAAATGAAACAGTATTTCCGTCCACATTAGAGTTTGAAAGGAACATGCCGAGAACAAACCTGACAATTATGATACAAACGATAAAATAATTATACAAACTACTTGAGTATAAGTAGTTTTGTCAACTCGACGTACCAAAGTTTTGCATCAACGTTTTTCCCATGTAAATTTCTAATAAAAGCGGAAGATTTTCTTTCTCAAAATTGCTCCCTTTTTCTTCGAAATATTTAATCAGACACTAAAAGACTAAAGAGTTAAAATAGTATGTGGTAAACAGATTTTTGGATATTAGTTCCTCTTGGTTTCTGGCACCTGGTCGAGCATGTTTTTAATATTTGAAATCTAGAAGGTGACCCAAGCAACTGATGTTTTAGTCAAATTAACAAATGAATCGGAAGCAATATAGTATCCCTTTTATGGTACAGCATAATTAATTAAAGCCGATTACACATAAGAAAACATTTACTACAAAAAAAAATAATGGATTTTTTTTCTATACCTATTATTAATGCAATCTCTTTAGAATATTCTGAACAAAATTTAATGTATTAGAATGCCACATTTCAAAAAAATGCCCCTGCGAAGAGGAAACGTGAGATTGCGAGGAAGCAGTTAATGCGTGATGTGTCTACATTGTGCGCCGTGTCCTTGTTAATATTTGCAAAGCAACTTGTAGCAAACACCATGAGGTGTCATGAAGTGGATTAATTGACTTGGAGTTTACCAATACTCTTGGCTCGGGTAGACTGTGGCTAACTGATTAGAGAAACGGATCTGAACCTTGTGAATATGCACCCAGCTTCATGTTACACTTCAATGAAGTTCTAATTTTGTGTTCACAGAAAATGTAATCATGTTGCAAGAAACGTTGCAGTTCATAGAATTTCTCAATGCTACGCAGCAAACGGCTGTCGTTATAATGAAACTTAGCACAATATTCAAGATTTCCTGACATTTTATGCTTAATACAGTGATTTACTTGTGACATTGTGGATCCACATATTTAAATTCTAGCGTTTTTTTGTCAATGTATTTTTTGAAATTAAATACTGGATGCCCTATTGCGAATCACAGGAGCTGCGTCTGGGGATGAGATTTTTGCAAGAGATTGCTGACGATTTATTAGGATACAAGTCGCAATATTATAAAATATAGTATAATTGGATCGACATCAGGCGGTATAATTCGGGTTTCTCGGCGCGCAATTTGCTTTGCCAGTTCGAGTGGAGGTTACAAGTAGAGGCATTTGAATGTTGGTGTAGGAAGTCGGAGCCGCGCGCTCTTCCGGGCAATCCCAAGCTTCGGCACTCGACATCTGCGGAGGCGACCCGCCCTAGTTTTGTACGCCATTGGAGGTTAGTGGAAAGCTACAGGAGCCGAATTGTAATTGCACTGTCTGGTTCAATTAATACATTAAACAAAAAAAATATAGATTTATTTTGAAGAACATACGCCGTAGTACACAATTGCTTTTAAAACCGAAGAAATGGGAAAAGGTCAAGATAAAAATACGCTCGACGGGCGAGGATAACCGCGAAGGAAAAAGACCGAGCCCCCAGGCCCCGTGGCCAAGGAATGGGTGGTTGCGCGTACGTCCGTGCAATTTCTTGAAGCCCACGGTTGTTGGATTCAGAGCACGCAGTGTGTCTAAACGACTATAACAAATACTGGAGGAACAAAATTCGAGTCTTTCATGGAACGTGGCAATCAGTGGAAACAAAAGTAAATATCTCAAAAGTGTACCTGATGAACCCGTCTCCCTGAAATTGCTTCGCTGTTCCCAAGGCGACCGTGGAAACCTATTACTGATGATAATGAATATTATAAAATGGAGAAAAAATTAGTATTAAAGACATTGAATTGCATTCTATTCAACATCATGAATTCTTAATATGGGAGTTTGATCTCGCACAATCATTTCTGACGGATTACGCCTGATTGCATATAGTTCTATGAAAACTCGAATTTTGAAGTTCAGAGAAACTGATACTACTCCCACAGATGATAATGGTTACCATGTGGAAAATTAAAGGAGCGTGGGAAGTTACTATATGCCTGTATCTGATGCACAACGGTAGTTGGTTCGAATCTCACGTAAGAATGGGTTTTCTAACTCATTATGACGTGAAAGGAAAATGGGCAAACAACACGTATTCTGCAATATAATAAATAATTAAGAATCATTAACTCGTAATTTCGCATATAATGTTGTAAAGCTGAATACTAGATCAATGCTGAAAGTTCAATAATAAATTTAATAATAAATTTACGTAAATGACATTTGTTTGCCAAAAAGATTAGGTGCAGTATGTGCGAATATCTGAATAACTATATAATAGTTTCGTAAACGGTCAGTGAATAAGCAGATGAATGGGAAGTCATGTAAATAAACGCGTTACAGATTGCCAACTCAGTCTCGTATTGGCATGGAGACCGCAATGCCGCGTATTGGCATGGAGAAGCGGTGAGAAGTGATAACTTCTGTAGCATCAACCTAACGGCCCGCTCTTTCTCCGAACGACTTCCATTTGTTCGAATCTCTCAGAAAGCTTTCGCATGGACGCATTGTCGACTATCTACTGAATAAAGAGAATTCACTGGCTGGCAGAAAGAGAGATTCAAATATGCCTAAGCTGTCGGGTTGTAGAATCTCGTAAAAGGAAGAGAATAATACCGTAACATGTAGGAGGAATATGTTGAGAAATAAAGATGTTTCGTGTTTGAAATCTTATTCGTTTTATTGGTATCAATTTGCAACAGCCTTGTCTTTGTACTTCGATCCAGGTCCATGCCCATCACACGGAGAGTTTTCAGTACAACCGCGACTTCTTTCGGATCCACACACAACTGCACACTAGTGCTCAAGTCTTCTCGCGATTGTCAAGGTATTTAATGTGAATGCAGTCGCACTACTACCTTTCCCGTGAATCGTTATCTCATTACTGGTTCTTCAATAATCAGAGATTGAGCTTCGAACATTCAATTATACATAATGTACAGGGAGGACAGGACGAAACTTTGAAATATGCTCTTAAGACAATTGTAAGCATATTTTGTCCAGGAAACTCCCCTTGGATATTCCGGATGGCTAAGCCTCAAAACTTTATATGCAAAACTATGCGTTGTACAAACATGCAAACACTCCAGAAACACGTAAATTGTTTATTATTTTCAAAAGATGAATATATTTGTTCACAAAGAAAAATTAACGTAGAAATGAAAAGGCAGTCGAATTGGGTGCTGCACTGGCTTTCCACACATGTCGGGAGAACAGTCCGGAATTTAGAGACTGTCCACTGGAGCCAACTGGAAGGGACGCTCACCCCCGGCGAGAGTAGATCGGCGCTGGCTTTCTCGTTCTTGCGGGAGAAGACCACCACCACCACCACCACCATCTCCACCTCCCCCTCCCCTCCCCATCCATAGGCCTGAATTCAAAATTGTCTATCGCAAATCCGTCTATGAGGAAATGGAACGGATTCTGATTCTTGAATTTGTGGATTTGCCTAGGTTGAAAATAGAGGGAACTTTAGTTGCGAATAAAGATGATTCATGGAATTTTGACCGAATTCAGTGATTGGAGCAATTGTTAATTCAACCGATGTATTTGACTTTGCTAATAACCAAGGGCTTAATGACTTTACTACATAAATTTTTTATCGTTAGGTAATAATTTGATTGGGACGCAGCGTCGGAGTTGTAGCCACACACGCAGGACATTTGTAAAGGAGAACGAATGATTAAATATTAGTAAACTAGTTTTGACAATGAAGCGTGATTATAATTCATTAGGGGGTATGAAAACATTTTGGAGAAAAGCTTAATTGATAGATTGATTAAAGAGGGCTCCATGTTAATATTTTACCTAATGGACACCAAATATTTACTGCAGTTCCGGAAGGAGCCATGGGACATTGATATTTTCTATTTTTAATTCTGGAGATTTAGGGCAGGTCTACGAAGAGTAAAATTTTACATTCAAACTTGTTTGGTTTGATATTTAGTCTCCAAGCTTTTGTCCAATTTGTGTTTTCTAAAATGGCTCTGAAGCAGATGAAATTGCTAGATGAATGGGATGAATGGGCCTGGTTAGCTACGAATATGACGCCGTGTCATCCGCATAAGAAAAAATCTCTTAGTATTCGGAGGAGAAAATCCTCCTATATATGGT